TAACGTAAAATCTGTATTTGCCTGAATTAGATTTAGAAAATGCATTGTAAACAGAGTGTAACAAATCCAGTAAAGGCAAGAGTGAAACTACAAATTGAACAGAAATTGATTATTTAGCTCTACGATCACGTTCCGGATGGTTTTAGTAGTTGTAGGGTGGGCTAGAGGGACAGAAGAAACAAATTCTTCTCTTTGAGCTGTTGGTCACGTCGCTTTTCAACAGGCAATGCCCATTTCATGTCCGATAGAGTACGGGATTATTCTACTCGCTCGAAAAGAGGCCAGGAATTTTAAGAACTTTCGCCACACTAAGCACTGACCTACCTCGGACCATTTTTATGCTTTCAACTGTGCAAAAAAGTAGATGTTTTTTAAAACTATTTTTTTCCACCGTAGATAAAAGCGATTAAAGAGTATTTGGAATAAAAATGTCGAATTTAAAATCTCACGCCTGGTAATGTGTAATATCAACTACCTATATGCTCTAACTTTGAGAGAAAATTTAGAACGTACAACAAATCTCAATGTGTATTTAAATACTTGTAAAATTTGGTAATTGATAAAAATGGAAATTTTTATAATATTAAAAAATTGTACTTTGTTTTCCTTTATACCCGTAGAATATACTGACAAAGTTTGATCGGAAAACACTGGAACACCTTGTATATTACCTTGTGCAATATAAGTAGATGCATTTACTTTATATTAATCTTGATATTAAAATTGTTTAACGTGTGACAATGATTTAAGACAGAAATAATTATGACATGGTTTATAATAAGGACAGGCTATTTTCGAATTTAGAATTTTTAATTTATTCTAGTAAATTATAGTACATACATCCGACCAGAGAACTTGGGGTTCATAGTTTAGAGTTTTAGAAATTTATTTCGCTCGTCCTCGATAGAGCCTGACGGTGCGACGTTTCCTAGAAAATAAGGAATTTCCAGAGAGTAAGTTAGAAATTAGTTGTAACTGTCTGGGGAACGACGGTCCTCCAGAACCTGGAGGAAATTCCGTGCTGTTCCCAAACTTTCGTCCAGCTAGAGTTAGTCCAGATATCGCCATCCACATTTTGGGAAAGGTAAACTAACAAAAAAGGCGCAATGGAAGTGTGCTCGTGATATCTATTAAAATATGCTGATTAGTTATTAAGATATTTTGGCTGTAGTTAATCAGCGTTCAATGAAGTCAATTAGAATCGACTAGGGAATTTAGAATAGTAAGTTGAGTAGAAAAGTTCGGAGCAGAAGGGTCGATCAGTTAATTTCAGAAGCAGGCAAACTCCTGAAAAGATCAGGATTTAGTTAGCAATCAGGTTAACAAGAAGCAGTTGGTCTTCTGATAGATTTACAAAGCACTAAGGCTTCTTCTGCGGTGATTAGTGGTTTAATTCGTTAAACAAACGAGAATAAATCAAAATCAGTGTGATTGAGTTTTCCAAAACTGTAATTCCGTGTCCTTTAAGCAGAAACGTGACACTACAGTGTGCAATAATCAAGGCTGTGACAAGTGTTGGTACAGAAATTATATTAAAAGGTAGAGGGAGAACGTCTTCGAAGTTAAGTATTTATAAACATTTATTACATATATTGCACAGATAAGTGTCAAATACATTACAGAAAGCTAAGAATCTCTAAGCTTTATATCATTTCAAGCATATTTCTAGATCTGCGTCAATAGGTGTTAAGTAGAAAAATATCGATCTTATTGCGCTATCTAAAATAACAATCGGAACAAGGAATACTCATCTTCACTTAACAACCTAAAACCGTAGACGACTAAAATTTCATATGCTGACACTATCGTCAAGTAAATACATACACAAAATAGTTTCTGTTGTACACTTTTTGGCCGTAAATACTGTTCAGATATTTCTATTTCTTTCGAGAGAGCTTTCATTTCGGTTTATCATAATACTCGTGAAAGATCAGTTACGTTACAGAGATAATATTTCACTATGCTATGATGAATTAAGAGCCTATCTATATATCACATACCAAAAAGCTGTAGAAATATAGCTAGATCACTACGTGTAAGAAAAGAAACAGGCAACTTACAGTTAATAATTTTACGCTGAAAATGAATCAAACACGCTTAATTGCACATGAATCTACGATGTGACATATTTTTTCCTTCCTCACACACACACACTCACTCTCTTTCTCTCTTTATAGCTATGTTTTTACATGCTAACCGACACGGCACCAAAATTGGCCACCGGCCAATACTAAACGATCAGTTACTCTCTGTTGAATATTGGCTTCCCCTTGGAATTGTATCGGGTCCGTAAAGCATCACGATTCCTGTTTTGTATGGTCCTTCTGTCGTGAGCCTAGGACGATTTACAGGCCATGGCATCGCTTATTTGACGATTAAACGCTAATTTGTTGCACGAGATGTTCGTTAGGAAACGTTGCGTAGCTTTTATCAGACCTGACTAGTATTCCAGGTAAAAATTTCTAGGTACGTCTTATCCTTAACCCTTTCACTACTATGGACGACTACGGTCATGTTTGCCGTAAAATATTCACAGTTATACTACGAGAAATTATAATCGCCCTACATGTAGCACTCGCATTTTAAGATAGCAGGTATTCGATGGAAATTCTGCGAACTATTTACGCCATGATATCAATAAAATCTTGTAATCAAAATTTTGTTTTATTTATACTTATTTATTAAATTATAGTAGTAACTGTATAATACACACTTTCCGTACAATCGTACTGTGTGATTGTTTTTTGGCAGACACGACCGTAGCGAAAGGGTTAAAATTGTTGAACATTTGTTAGAGCTTTCTAATTGCGAAAGGAGGTTCCTAGGTTGTATTCTGCGTTTTGGTATTTTGAACAAGATCTTGGTATCTTTTACGTTAAATTTTGCACAGCTAATTGTTATTACAATGAAAAATTATTCCCATTTTATGGTATACATAGGTGATAGAAATTATTAGAAATGTTAAAACGCTATCAAGATGATCGCAATACTTAGAAGAAGTATTTTAATAGCTTGCAATCATCGTGACATTTCTGCTACGTCGATTTCATAAGAAGAATGTAATGCATAATTTTGAAACCCTTGACGCAACCATTTGTTTTAATGTATTTAAAAGCCTAGCATGCAACGCCTATGTCGATCTAAAGAAGCAAATAGAAAAATATCGAATCTATAATATAACTGTCTATTTCACGTTCTAAAAATACGAGAATGGCAAAGAACACAAGTGGTGCTCCCCTTGTGACATATTTACGAGCTCTTTCATGTTCATATTTCAGAGATATGAACAGGGACATCTGAATGGACCGAATAATTGAATAAATATTTTAGCTGATTACCGTGAATACAATGCAATAAATTTTAAGAAAATTGCCCTTTTACATTTATTTATATGAAAAGAGACATTTACACTTTTAAATACAAAATGAAGTTATCGTATTGAAAAGTGTTAAAAGAATTATTCTATTTATTGCCAATCACGCTGATTACCATGTTATTGTAGATCATCCAAAATAATTGTGCCGTTTTTCAGTATTTTCGTTTTATTATACATATTTTCCTTTCCTATTATTCATTTTTTGAGTATTTCTTATAGACTAGTCTGTGCCTGGAATTTACCTTTGACAGATTTGTCAATTGGCTTTCTCACCAAAGTTTTTCAGCAATATCCTCTCATCTCAGGAAAGTTTTTCAGCAATACTATTTCAACTCACGAAAGTTTTTCAGCAATACCCTTTCAACTCACGAAAGTTTATCAGCAATACCCTTCCAACTCACGAAAGTTTTTCAGCAACGTCCTGGCAACTAACGCATTGCAAGCTTACACTTAGAAATATGATAGAAATCGAAGAAGCTAGAATTTATGAAATATTTGTAAGAACCAATTAGGCTTTATGATCAATCAAATCAGTTTACCGGAGATATTCGCAGGTCGTCCCTCTAAATCTATATGATTAAATCAGAATTGCGGCGTACCCACGCACATGGGCTTTGAAACCACTTCACGTCTTTTTATTACTTTAGCCTTTAAATTTACTCAGGCGACGAAGCCAGGTTGCGGCAATAGAGGGGTTATGGGATATCTTTCTGCATCCTTACGAACCCATACTGTTGATAATGTCCTAGTTATGGTATGATTTAACTCTTGGAACATGTGAACACCATTACAGAAATGGGATGGCCAGACATCTTAGACCGCAGCTATTGGAATGTGACCAGAAAGTCATACAGTGCAATAACTGGATTTTTTACCATTTAGCGCACGAGGGATGAACCTCAGTTTGAGCATAATTAGACGTGGACAATAAAGGGCGATTATCTATGAGGATTAGCTCCTAAGGAATTATTTTCTGACCAAGATTTTTGCTACTGTTGTCGATAAAGTACATGAAGATGGAAGCTGAGACGTTTGTCTTTATCAAGGCTCGACAACTTGGAAGTACTCTGTGCTTTTGCTCGCGTCTTGATCAGTTTGTTGGTCCAGGCAAGTTCAAGAAAAATAAGATCTCCTGCAGTTCAAGGAAACAACTACGGTTCATTTCCGTCTGGTTATTTCACAAGGGTTCCAGCAAAAAAATTTCTAACAATTCTACACTTCAAATTGGCACGAACTTTCCGAATGACCTCACGTTTGGGTACTCACACATCTTCACTTTCATCAGCTGTACGTACTCTTCTTCTTCTTTTTTTTTTTTTATAAAGACACGCGAGTCGTGCGTATCGTGTCCATTGTAAATTTTCCAAAGCTCTTATACAACAGAACAATTAGTATAAAAAAAATCGAAGCATCCAGCAGTTATTAACTTAAACGTAAAATCGTTATTAAAGCAACTTCGGACATCAACTAATTCTGTAAATAAAAATTTCGAATTTTTATCAAATTTTCGATTCACTCAGTGATTCGTTTCTTGTGTTACCTTCAGCTTTCCCAGAAGCTGGAAACGTGATCTCCTATTAATACTTAATAAATATCTCAATAGTTTCCAACACTTCTTGGTCTGTAAAACGCAACTACATTCTATACACTCCTTTTAACGGTCTCGTTCGTCCTCGTTCTCGGCATAAAAATTTGCCAGCTGCTCCCTGGCAGCCTGGGTGATGGAACCTCTGCAAGGATTAGGGTCCCAATTGACACCGGGACATCCCATAGTCTCGAAGCATGTCACCAGACGAGTGGATCTCGATGGACAACATTGTATCACCGCCCAAACGCAGGGTGTAGGACTTTGTGCAGGTGGTCGTCGAGTAGACGGGGCTGGGAAGTTGGGCACTTCTATTCCGGGACCATTCGGATTGACTCCCTACGAAGAAACATAAGTAACAAATAAATTGATATACTATTTTTTCAATTTTCACGTCTACTGTTGCTATTCAAAATTTAGACGTTTCGCACGATCGTGGTGAAAATTTGATATTTAGTCGATTTCTACACATTATCCTGCTCCTTTCCTAAAAGTAGAAAATTTTAAACATCCTTCTGCGATAGGTAAATTGAAAAATTGTTTAAACGCAATTGTTTATATTCAATATTCATTTAATAACACTAAATTATTCCAATGACCCAAAATAGTCGAATAGGAAACTATCCTTTTTAGAGCTAACTATGCCATTCAATTTTCCCATCGAGTGTACATAAAACTAATATTTGTGCTACTTCACCTACACAAGCCATTTTTATTCGCGCTTTATTAAATCAGACCATTTGCAAAAGTAATCCATGAAAAGGATAACGTGTATATAATCTTAGCACCCCAAATCGCAACCTCCATTTAATTTCGACTACTTGTTTCCATATCTGTCAAAAGTAGCACACTTTAAGGGCAATGTCCATATACTTTTTCTCTGAAAAAAGTCTTTCTGTTGCATAATCATACTATGTACTTTACCAGCGAAATACTGCATCAATGTAATATAACACCTGCCTCCTAAGCCTCACAATTTATATCCCTCCATCTACTCCACTTACTACAGTCATAACAATCTACAACGCGAATATTACACTAGCAATTATTACGCTACTTGCACGAATACTATATCAGGACGCGCAATTATTCCCTGTTTAACGATCAGAAGTTTCCTTTAGCAATCGATAGCCACTGGTAACGACGATCGTTTCGGAAGCTCCCATACGGTATTGGGACAGAAACGCGGCGCTTTGGATCTGTTTCCCCAAACGGTTCTCTACGTTACCAGCATGTTATACTCGTACAGACGTGACAGGATAATGCGAAACAATTGTCGGAAGTCAAGGATCGAATCGGAGCTCGAGCCTCCCGAGCGTCGAACGATTGCACATTGAAACGTTTGAACAGGAATAGGTGGGGAAAGCTCACCATGAAACCGATATCGGTGTCGAAGTCCGCCCTCGATATCACTTTAGGTACGGAAGACACTGCGGGGCGGACTATTATTCTTGCGCTCACAGGCAACGCGTTCAGCCTGGCCTCTTCCTGTCGTCTCCGTTGCTCTTCCATTGCTCTACTGTTATGCTCGTTCAGCCTTGCCTCCTTCGCTCTGTGGGGAATAAGAGGACGTTATATTATCAGCGTACACCGAAACAGGAAGCTCATTGTGTACGGTGCGAACCGAGCTGTTTGTTTCATTAATGTCGCTCGCTACCGTTAACTCTCGACTGCTCCTCACCAACAAAATTGTCAGCTGGTCTCTTACGCTGAATATTTACACTACTAGCAGCCGCAATCGCCACCACCGCGCTATGGATCTTTGGAGTTGCAATAACTGTCGCAAAACTGATCTTTAGTGCTCTAAGCAGCTGTCGTGGCATCGAAAAGTTAGGCTGGTTTGCAATTTTGGGTGAACCTGAGTGAGCATTGCTTTGTGTCGCGTTGAGCAGTTATGCGGCGAATAACGAGATGATTGTATTTTAGCTTTGTTCTGTAGCTTGAAGCGTGAGATTGGGAATTTGTTTGAGCAGTGTCTGTCTTACTAATTTTCAAGTCAAATGATCGAATATTTTGTCTCCTACAATCTCCTGTTCAATTTTTTTGAATTGATATTAAAGGAAGTTTTGCAAGGAGAGATTCGTGAAACAATTCTATGAAAATATTTGTATAAAGTTATATTAGAATAAATATAAAACAAAATATTGTTTGTTATGGGTCGTACAATATTTGAAGGAATCTTAAATTGACGCTAAATTTATACTATATTAAAAATGTCATGAAAATATCGATTGCTAATGTAAAGAAAAAGTTTGTATAAATATGTCCACGGGTTAATCTAACGTATAAATATAAGCAAAAGATATTCCTGTTCTTTTACGTAAAACTTTAAACAGTTAGAATCTGATGTAAAAAATCATGAAGTTATAAAATAGTGCTCGAAACGTATGCACTCAAGAAAGATCATAATTGTGGAAACGTGTCAGTATAGGTTTCGTTACATTATTAAACTGCAATCAAAATTGTGGAAAGGCAATAATTTTAGCGAGAGGAGCGCTATGTGTATAACTGTGAAAACATTCTGAAAGTCAAGCTTTAAGTTTATGGGGGTGACCGTAGTACTATAAATATTAGCAAGAGGGACAACGTGTGGGTTCCGTCTGGAGTATTTATCGCCTAGGAAAATCTATTGCGTCACAGAATATTCTGTGTAGGACCTGCTTCCTCAGAATGTGATGTTTATGGGAACACTAAATTAATGCGCCTTCTTCTAAAATTTAACACGATTATTACAATAGTTCTAACTAATATAAAATAATTTGTTTTGTATTGCTTCACACATTATATTAAATATTCTTGAATATGTTTCGTTTTTTAAATAAAATGATGCATAATCTGCGTTCTCGAAAATGTTTAAAAAAGCATCGTTCCACAGTTTTTCGAACTTCATGAACGTTTTATATATTGATATTTCCATTGTTTCTTACTTAATTCCAAATTGTCTTAATTTATTTTCACAAATTTCTGCTATTCGTGCATTTCACAAAATGCTGATGTGAATCCTAATCTAAATTCTCTGCATGTAGTTTTGCGTATACTGACATAATAAGAGAATCTTTTGTATGAATTTGTTTGAACAATTGTACTAGAACTTGAAATATAATTCAATAGAAATTTTTTTAGAATGAACATTTCCAAATATTTTTCTTAATAAAACGAGGCCAGAGATGACACGAAAATATGATGCTAGGTCTGCAAAATAATATTAAGGCTAGGCATATTTTGTACTGTAATTAATTTCGTATCGTTCGTAACGTGCTCATATTTTATGTTACTCTTTTCACAAAGGATTAACGTTCTAATAAAGGAAAGCTATTACGTTTCAAATTGACTATATTCTAATATAAATGAAGGCAATATCTCGGTTCACTTTGTCATAATTTAATATTTAATCGGCAAATTCGACCTGACCATCTCTCTTCTGTTCATTTCATTACCTGCCGCTATTCCCCTGCCATCGCCTTTCAGCCTCCAGCCTTCTTCTCTCTTGCTCCAGTCTTTGTTTCTGAAGTTCCATGGCCCTCCTGGACTCGTTCAAATATAAATTGCCTGGAATAAGACTCGTGTCATGTCTCCTTCTGTGCTCCTCGAATCGTCTACGATCCTCGTAGCTCGGTCTGATATTCTCCAATGGTCTCGTCCTTCCAGCCTGACTTCTTCTAGCTTCCTCCTCTAATAGTTCTTTCGCTCTTCTTTCTTCTTCTAACCTCGTCGCTTCTAGCCTCTTTCTTTCCTCCTCGTATCTTCTCGACTGCAGCTTTCTAGCCTCTTCTTCTCGCCTTAGAACTTCTCTCCGTAGCTGTTCCTGCTGCTGTCTTTGTTGTTCGCTGATCCTTTCTTCCTCAATTCTCCTCGCAGCTTCTCTTCTTCTGTTCTCGTCCACATAGTTCCGCGGGTCGATATTCGTCGGGGCTGACGGACCATGGTTTCTTCTTCCGTTTCCTGGTCCCGGATAACTTGACCGATTATACTGTCTCGCTTCGTCTAATCTCCTTATGTACTCCTGCCAATTTCTATCGTTCTCTTTCGGTAAACGCACCGGCTGATTTCGTCGAACATACTCTTGCAACTTGCGTTCCTCCTCTTGCCTCCTTCTATTCGCTTCTTCCCTTTGCCGATCTGCGGGACTATTCACGTTGATCGGCTGATTACTCTGGATGTACTCGTTCACTTCTCGCAGACGTTCTCTTTCTTGCTGCTCTCTTACTCGCTTCTCTGTTTCTGCGTCGTAAGGTCTACTTGCACTCGGCGCAGCTCGCGTGGGATTCAATAAATTGGAAGGTTCGTTCCTACTTTGCTGTTGACGTTTTCTCTCTGCTTCCTCCTGTTGCCTTATCTTCAACATCCACTCTCTTCTTCTCGCCTCCAGCTGTCTTCTACGTCTTTCTTCTTCTTGTCTGAGCCTTCGCTGTTTTTCTTCCGCCTCTTGGAGGAAGGACGTCTGTGGTTTAACCGTCCTTCGACTTGCTTCTAACTCTTGTCTCCTGCGTTCTTCGTTCAGCCATTGATTTCTTCTTGCTATATCTTCTTCCAAACGTCGTCTCTGTTCTTCCTCCTGCTGCCACCTGTTCGGCGCCGATCTTTGTGTCATCTGCTGTAATCGCCGTTGTCTTTCCTCTTCTTGCCTCTGCTTCTGTTCCAGAAATTTTTCGTACTCGTCCTTGATCGCTTCTATGTCGGAATTAGTTCGATTCTGATAGTAACTTCGTCTCTGTGCTTCCTTCTGCCGTCTCTTTGCTTCTTCCTGTCGTCTCCTTTCCTCCTCCTCCTCCTCCCTCCTTCTCTCGTAGTCCTGCCTTCGTCTACTGTTCGCTGTTTGCAGCTCGTCGCTCGACACCACACCTTCATCTTCCGCGAAGCCCCAAATTCCACGTTTGCGGCGTCTTTCATTCTCCGGTTGCACGGCGACGTCGGAATCGTCGAACCATAACATCTTCCGACGCTGATTAGTTCCCGTTGCAGAACTATCGGCAGATTTCGCCTCGCTGCGAAGGCCTTGCTTCCCTTTATCAAAATGCAAAGCCCCGCTGGTTGCCTTTTCTTGTGCCTCCTGATTACCGTGGTCGAATGTCACCGGCAGAACAGTTGACTCGTTGTTCACGCTAGACTTGCCCAAGTCCCCGCGGACAGGTAATTTGTCCGTGCGCCTTTTGTCGTCAAAGAAGTTTGAGTGAAGAATCGCCTCCATATCACCCCTATTCTGCTTCAGCCCTTTCGTAGTGGTCTCTAATTTCTTCAACTTGAACAGTTCATCCATCTCCTCGTAGCCTTCTTCGCCGGAAAGCTCGTAGTCGAGGTCCAAGGATATCGGAGTTACAGCCACCCATGGCTCTGCCTCCTTTGAATTCTTATCTCTGACGAGGGAGGCTATCGACCTCTTCTCTTTGTTTTGATCAGACGCCTCCAATCCCTCGCAACCCACCTGTAATTCAGGCACTCCGCCTATACTGAACGGGTCATGGTTCGAGAGAATCTCTGTGCCAAAGTCGTCGAACGAGTTAGATTGTTTGTGGAACATTTTCGGGCTGTTAACTTTGTATTCCGTCGTCTTGCCTTTCGAGTACAAATGGTTGGTCTTCTTGTACGTCTTGCTTTTGCTCTTCGACATGATTCTCGTGATAGGCGTCGGGCTTAGCGGAGACTTTTCTTGGTGCGGGTCCAATTTGTATATTTCTACGGAGCTTGGTCCTTGATCTTGGAACGTACCGTCGGCTACAGGAGGGTTCTCCAATTCGGATGGTGGAAGCAGCTCACGCGACACTGATTTTTGACCCTTTGTACCTCTGCCGTCGCTTTTCTCCTCTGCGAATCCTTCTCCGACAGAATTACTGAACTGCTTATCTTCGACTAAAGGTGAAAAATCGTCGCCGGCGTTGTTCCCTGACCGACGGAGCATCGAGTCCTTTTCAAGGTACTTGCCTTTGAAGGATTCTTCCTGGGAACCTAGAAAGTTCATGCATGAGTGAATGTAGACGATTCAGGCTGTGGCTTGCCGCATCTGGTTTAACTGTAATAAGCTACAATAAGGTTATGGTTAAATTTCTCTTGGAATTAAATTTTGATTTAACTAGTTTTTACTTATATTGGGCGGTCTCGAAAATTTGCGCCAATTTTTAAGCAAATAAGTAAATTTCATAGTTTGAAGCAGTAATTTCTTTGTTCTCTAAGATGTGTACAGTTTTGTTTTACAACTTTTCGCTGTCTTTTTGGCAATTTGAAAATTTCACTTTGCCAAAAATTTTGTTCCTTTTTCATACTTTCTTTAAGACCGAACGATTTACAAACCATTTACGAACAACTTTTCAGTGATATTTTCACTTTTTGTGCTCCATTTTCTTTCATTTTCAAAACAATATAACTCCTAGAAGAAACTAGCAATTTTAACGAATAGACTTGCAAAAGACACTGGAAAAAGTGATCTTTTAGAACATGTGCGAACTTCGTATATTTTCATCGAGTTTTATTTATTCTAAAATACTCAAGCACTTTCTACGGAAAATCGGTACGAACTTTTCGGACAACCTAATATTCGAAGCCAACTTGTGGGAAGAAAGAAAGATTGTTAAAAAATTACCATTGCGACTGAAACGTAAAGTTCGAAAAGAGAAAAAATTACAAAGGGACTCAACAGTGGTAATTATAAATTTTTCAATCAGAAATGTTCCAAGAAGATTAGCCTCGTGTTTCCCGATTTCTTCAGAGATTTACTCACAGTATGAATACCGTAGCAAACGAAAAATGTTGAAATATCGTAAGCGAGTAGGCAGTTCATAAATTGTACATCGAAGAGTTGAAATATTTTCGTGTGGAATTAAGGTCGATATTAGAAGTATTATAGAATAACAGTTTTACGTTAATGTTTGTAAACTGTACGAAAGAACTGAAAGTTTGTGTTGGTGTGCACGATAAGAAGCTGCCTAACACGTACAACCAGTAGTTCGAATTAAAATTACTCCCCATTGAAAATCTAAATGGTTCACCGTCTCGAGGTTCTAGCTCCATTATATTCCGAGGGTAACTTTAAGATGCTGGTCGATTTCTTAACAAAGAGTTAGCGAAGCAACATGTCATATAGAATAACGGGCGAGTCTTGAATCAAAAAGAGCACTTACGACTTCGGTAGCTGGTTTTGAATAGACGTGCATATTCACATTTTAAACTGCTTCCATTAGAATTCACTTGGGCGTCGGTAGACGTGCATTCGAAATAAATGAACCTTATCGAAACACGCGTTCCGAAACATCGATGAAATATAGTAAAACGATTTTATGAGTAAGAAAAGTTTAAACGCGACATACAATGTGAATATTTTGTTACAGATGCGTTATTATATTGGAAAATATTAATATTCTACAATATTGTAGTTAAATCATTTTTCAATCAAATATGCATTTAATTTTAACTTCATTCTTAGATTTGGTATAAAATTAATCGAAATTAAAATCTGCAAAATATGTAGGTAATTTAAATCGATACTTTTAATTCTTTCTTACGTTGTTGAAAATATGGAAAATTTATCTGAGTAAATTAGTTATGATTTTAATGACAACACATATACTGTGTTGTACTAATTTACTACACATATTAGGACATACAGTTACTTTTAAAAATATTCTGTCACTATATAAGCTCGCTTTTCTGTTAGTGCTGTATTTCAGTTAATTATAAAAGGATTAGGTTGATGCATTTTCGTTATGGAACGTTATTTATCGTACTTTAGAATTAGTCGTACTTTAATCGAAATTACGTTCAATTGTTATATTACACAAATATTCTAACACTTGCAGCAAAAATGAATATTTTGAATATTTGTAGTATAATGTTGCTATGATGCGCCGTGTTGAATGGTTACTTTGTTAGTATGTGAATATTTCTGCGAGGTTGTTATTTGTCTATTGGCCATTTACGTAGAGATTTCTATAAATAACGATGACAAATGTTAAATATAATTTTGTAAGTTAATTCGGTCGTATCATTGTGAAATTTCATACTTGCTATATTTATTTATCAAAAACAGAGCCGAATTTAACACTTAACTTTGTACGAATAATTCCTTTTTCTCAGAATTTTGATTTTTTCCATGATTCTTCGATAATTTTCATTTTTTTCGTGCACCTTTAATTAGTGAAATTAAAAATAAAAATTAGAAGTTTTATAAAGAAGATCCTTAACCTTCAAGGGGTTGGACCACCTGAGGTGAGAAAAACTCGAATTTCTTTTTTGATTAAATTGATAGTTCATGCTTTTCAAAATATAATCCAAACAGTTTCAACGAAAAATTTTGATGAATAGTAATCGAAACTTGAAACGCGATTTTCTCGGAGTGACATTTTTAAAGTCGGTGTTGTATAACAGCTGCAATTTTTATCCGATTTACTTGAAATATTCTCAAAATACTCTTCATATTTCCAAAGAAAAATCACAAGATTTTTGCAATATATTGAAAACTTCTTCTGCTATACATTTTTATACTAAAATTTTAGGGAAAAGCTATTCTTCTTTCGTGTGTTCACCATACGGACAGGTAAATGATGAAAATTTTTGATATTTTCTTCTAAGTTAAACCGTGTGGCTGTAACGCCGCCATTTTGTAAAGAAATTAAATGAAAAAAATACTTTTACATTCCTTATAGGCAATATAATAAACCCCTTAGAAAAAGCGTTCGATTGAGTCAATTTATTCCTGAAAAAAAAAGAAAACAAAAAAAATGCCAAAGTTAGGTATCGTTTTCAGGTCTCAGGCATGGTCTAACCCCTCAATAAATTTCACGATAAAGTTACAATTTTCTTTTCAAATTAAACAAAATTCAATACTACCCCAACGAAAAAAAATTCTACTCCCTTCAAATTCAAGTTCAACAGGCCCCGCGACTTCTAACTGCCGCATTAACATTGCAAATTGTATCCGTCACGAGAAGAGCGGCATAATCCCACGACGAGAACTTAGCTCAATATTCGTCCTTACGATCGACGGAGTAGTCCAGGTAACCGCATTTCTGATTAACATACATCACGCTTATCCCTACCGTTCCGTAACAGAACTTCATTACTCGTTCCTCGTGTCTGATTCTCGGGGGTCGTTATATCAGAAAACGAGCATGTTATCCAGAACGATATATTCCCCTGGCATCGAGGTCGCCGTTCTGTTTCTGCCAGTTAGAGGGAGTCAGAGCGACAGAATTAAATTGCTGATGTAACGAATGCCAGACGTACCGGTGGCGCTCGTCGTGATCGACCTTCGCGGGACGATCGAAAGGTCGAACGGCTGATTCTCGGCAGGATTCTGATCCTTCCAGTCCAGTTGGCCCTCAACTCTTCGATAAACTCCATGCTGCCGGTGGTGTGTGGCTAAAGGGGTGTATTGATCGAGGGTAAGGCGGGAGGGATGGAGGCTGGCTGTCCCCACCACGTTCGCGTACAACGCTAGCCAGATCGTGGCCAGAACCACTGTCACCCCTGGCTGCATCCTCCTGCAATCAAACGGATATGTTCTTCGTTACGGGTTTTTTTTTTCGTTCAACCAACGATAGAACGGTTGGTGTGTCTCTCCCCCCTCATTCGCACACCAACACAGTCGCACGCAGAGTGTGTTCTGCTTAGGATACGTGAATCGTTCGATTCACAGGTCGCATGTCGTTCTAACACTGTGAATCGAGTTGGAAACGAGGACGCCCTCGTATTTTTACTACGTTTACCGCCTCCGCAAGAGAGGACGGTTTAAACGTTTCTGAAGACCGTGTTACGTTGAGGAGCAACGGGTTCTCTTTCGCTTCGAGGATTCCAGAGCGACGCGAACGAGACGTGTGAGCACTTTCCATCCGATGGAAATTCTTATTAGGTATTCGTGTCGCGCCAAAGGATCGGCTCGGCTGTTCTTGAAGCACCTCGGTGCTAGAGCGGTTTAATGTCTGCGATATTATGCGATGGTGTCACTGAATTTTTATCAGACGTAAGAGGATATATACATATATATATTTTTCTTCTTTTAAAGTTTCTTCTATCTTTAGGTTTTTTTTTTCGCAGAGTTAAATTAAGGGATGATAAGTTAAGTGATAAAATGAGCGTATTGATTTTGTGTATGGAAAAATACAGTTTTTTTATAAAGCAAAGGATCGATCGTTACGTTTGCGCGTTTTGTAATTTTAACTGCTCTTCTTCGCAGTATTCGATAGCAGTAGTAATTAGCAGTTAATTGGCGATCCAATACTCGTCGTGATTAGTTGGCAAATGGGTGTAGAAATTTCCACGTGACACTTTTGGGTGAATATTCATTAGATGCTAACCGATTGTTTTCTTTTTAAGATGGAAATTGTACGTGATTTTGCTTGAATGATTATGCACTCAATTAAAAATGTCTGCGGACACTTTATGAAAATTTATTTTGCGCTGTATAATGTTAAGAGAGAAGAAAGTAGTAAATTTATTTAAAATCATAACATTTACTATTAGTACAAAGAAAAATAATTTGTATTCGTTTGTTAATAATTAAACAAATGAATATAATTCATTTCTCTTTGTACTAATAGTAAATGTTACGTTTTTAAATAAAATACTTTCTGTCTTAAAATTGTACAACGCTAAACGTAAATTTTAACGGGGAAACTTTTTTGACTGATGTGTGTAAATAATACGAAATAAACCGAAGACTAAAATCTTGAAAGATTAACAAAAGTATAAGAAATGAAAATTGCGAAATTATACTTGCAGTGAAGTTTTATGTACGGAGTATCTTTTGTTTATATTTAAATAAATTTACATTTTACTAGTATTAATATACATAAAATACAAAATAAATTTGATGCTCCTGTTTTATGTATCCTTTCACTTTCTTTTCTTCTACTTATTATACATACAAAATACTATTATACTTCGATTTATGAACGTATTCAAATTCTTCGAAATAATGAATATGTTATTTTTGTTTCTAAATGTGAATCACATATTTCGCTGTTTCATTGAATTCTATTACTTGCAGAATCTTGCATTGAATTTACCGTCACATGAGATTATAGCAAACAGTTTACGGTGTTTATTGAAACAACGTAAATAAACTTTGATGGAAATATTTGGAAGATTTCGTGAACAGAATTATTCAATTTCCAAACAATAGGAAGTATCGTGGAAGAAACATTCAAAAATAAGTCGTTCCCAGAATCTGGAAACACTTCAATCATTTCCTTCAAGGAAAGAAATTAACAACCGTGCTGCGACTACTTACTAGTAAACTGCAATATTCGCGTTTACTATAGTCGTTTCCTTACACTCTTAACTTAACCCACAGCAAATAAAATTTGAAAATTATAAAATTATTACTGATCACTTATAGCAGTCAAACAAATTCTCAAATAATTAAACAAAAATAACACAGACCCCTTCTGTTTTTTTATTCTTCATTAACACGTTCAGTGCCGCGTGTATCACCAATGGTACGCGACAATTTTTGGAAGTGTAACCCTCGTTAAACGAATAAGGATACTCTTCGATTCAGCGCTTCAGCAAAATAAACACGAAGATAAAAGTAAACAAGTATTCAACGTTATAAATATTTTAACCGCGGCACGAAACGTGCATAATGTGTAGCAATTCCAAAAATCGATCACTCACAAATGTTGAAAGCGGTTCTTCCTCGCGGAACGGAGAGAAAATTCTACTCGTCACGAAAGTGTCACATGAAACTTGTCACCTCTTCCGGTGCCAGGAAATTCACCTCGCGAGTCAACTATCACTTGTTCCGGTGACGTCACGAATTCCAGGCCAAAAAGCTCGTCAAACGTTGCGAGGCTCTGATCGCGCGTAAACCAGACACCATGACCTTCCGGTTCGCGGTTTCGATCGGTTTCGCAGAGGGTAACGAGATCACATCCGTCGCTGCACACAAATGCCGGCTATCGATTTCGCGACACTCGATTGCCCTCTCGAAGAAACGCCTGTACTACACAGCGCCTCCTCTTCTCTGCTTCTGCGGAAGGTCCTCCTCTCTCGTGGCTTCTGTTCCTGGCCGGTTCGTTGAAATTCTCTGCTTTGTAGCTCGAGAGCTCGCCTCTCTCCTGCTGCCTGGTGGAAAAAGAAGCAACAATCGCTCCTCGACGCGTTCGAGGTGAAGGCACAGACGAGATCAAGTGATCTTGACACACTGTCGCTGCCAAGTCGAAGTGGCTAAACTTAACACTGGCTCGACTATCTGTTGGCTAGCCGTGATTCGAAACTCCGCGTAAGCAAACCCTCTCGATTCACTTCCGGAACGGTGATGTCACATTGCGGAGATGGCCCAGGGGTCACTGACAATTTCAAGCAATTGCAAACGTGACCCGTGATAAACGCCATCGCCAATAATGCCTTTACGGTCGATAATACAACGAATACAAGTAACCAAATGACATTGTCGATTCATCGTTCAATTGACCTGTTTATCGTCGAACAATATTCCGATGATGCAAACGTATCTACGGAGGAAAGAAGAATCATTTAAACGTCGGTGATTGTAAATGCGGCTTGTTAGTTGGAAGAGCAGCACGTGTGCTCGAAGGATCTTAGTACGTATGTAGATGTTGGGTCACGGTGAATTTTGCTCGTTCAAGGTTATCGAAGGGGAAATCCTATAATTTGTTTGCTGTATCTCAGCTGCGATAGTTGCGTGTATGTATTCGTATATAGGGATTATATGCTTAGGAGAAGGATGAGGTAAGAACGAGGAACTAAATATAAGAATAAAGAAAACAAACAGATAGAACGGAGAAAAAGAATGATAAGTACCATGCACGCCTGAATAACTAAAAATATACATGTGTAAAGATTAAGATGCGCGAATTAAAAAAGTCGGAATTCTGTTCGTGGTTAAACGTGAAAGAAGTGTCCGTGAAAGATCAAGCTACTTTTATTCTTTTCGTAAGAACATATTTCGGATCTTGTAGTGTAAATATAAATGATATGGGTATACGTGAATAATCGGGCACCCTTTAGAACAGTATAACTTTTTAAAATTGGACCAAACGACTTGAGTATTTTTGAGAAGTTAGAAGGATTAGTTTACTAGATGACGTATACAAACAGTTTTGAAAAAATTGCAAAGGTCAAAGGTCACTTTTTACACTTTCTTTCTCTGAGCTTGTAATGAAAATTTAAAACGTATGTTTTGTAGATTTATGTCAGTTGTATACATACTGAAAATTTCATCGAAATCTAAATTTTAAAATATCAGAAAATATGAAATTTTGGAGTATAGAAAATTACGTATTATAAGTTACAGTTCGTGTTAGCATTCTTTTCTCGACTTTCTACGATCTCTGTTCCAGTCACCGTCACTTTTAGCTCGTACGTAATTTTATACAAGCAGACGAAACTTTTCATCATAAATCTTACAGCCGAGTCACGAACGAACGATGTTTTGATAGGCGAGCTTGAAAAGCTAGGGATTTAGAGCGGAAAGAATTTTGTACCAGCAAAGTGATCTTGGATGCGGGATAGATTGATTAGAAACAAAGTCTCCTGAGCATGGAAGATCATTTTCCTCTCTGTTATTATTCACAGCTGTATAAGGCGCAGTTGAAATGGAACTTCTACGGAAAATTCGACGAGGGGTTGAAATTGCTCGGAAGATTAATGTCTCTTCAAAATATAGACTAAGTTAATATTAATCAAATTGACCATGTGTACGCTTAAGCAAAGGGAAGACTGAGAAGTATTGGATAATTTGGTAGATCAAATAATTATTCTGGCGCGAACTTACAGTACACATAACTGCGAGCAAATTTGTAAATGATTGATTTGGCTGTTTAGTTTTACGAATTAATTGTATATTACTCAATAATTTTTCCTCTTAGCGGAATAATTATTTTTGAATACCTACTAATTCTTTAAAATGGTATTTTCAAGGTAAAACAGATTTTTAAAAAACAGTTATCTTCAAATAAATGCAAATTATTCGAATAAATTTTAATGCAAATATATGAATAATTGAAAATAACAGAAATGTAACGAAGTTTAATAATCTTATTTTATGCTTGAATTTTTTTTCCGTGTTACATGAATTGCGTTTAGAAATTGATAATTTGTGGCATGCAATATTGAATATTAGTAATGGAATATTGCAATCATGGAATAATTAATACGTTGTCAAATTTAGAGTTATGTTTAGACCATTATTTTGTGTAACATTTATTGAATGCGTCGAACTATAGTTAATATCCCAAAATGTGGTAGAGAGGTATAATAATTATTGATTATTTACATCACTTCATTTTATAATTTATTTCTAATATATTCGAAATCAGGTGTGAGAATATTCGAAAATTAAAGCTCGCAAACTAAAGAGATAAAGAAATATTTTTATTTCATTTCGCTGTTATTGGATTAAAAAATTTGCATTTCCTATCTGTGTATAGCCATTTTAACCTATCTTTCAATTTAAATCCTCGAATTTTAAACAAGTATCAGTTAGCAATATTGAAATTAAAATATACAACGGTAAGTTTACCTGCACAAACAGCCTAATGCTTTTTTATAGTGACTAAAGGGATGAAATTATAAACACCAAATTATGAAATCCCGAAACCATTTAATTTTTGTCCAAATCATTTTTCCGAAATAATAATTTCGAATATTCCTATAGATTCTTACATAAAAAAGTTTAAGCTAATTTATTAAAGCATATTGACATCCTCTATAAATTAAAGAGTTACAAATTTAAAATTGATTTCAAATTAAAAATTTAACAGATTTCGGAAGAAATTTTATGCGATAGTATGTTGATAAATCTTTAAATTTAACATTCTTTATTATATACAGGGTGTCCTAAGCTTAAACTTTGTCAGGATATTGTATGGGTCTAAATAAGAAAAACGTATTATATAAATATAGGTTGTTTAACGCATTATTAAAAAATTATAAAGAAAATACGAAATTCGAAGAGAACAGTTAAGCGATATTTAATTTTTGTTTAATACACTTATTACTACTGATACTAATATTAAGACTAAATTCGTAAACGCAACTACTAATGGTTCTGCTAGAAATTAATATTGACAGCTTCAACGACTTCAGCTAGTAAATACCGCTTGCGTAAATAAACTAATGCAAATATGGTTGATCTATTCCACTATTGTATCGCAGTAATCGCGTCTGTTAGTCCTCCCTTCGAATTCCGTATTTTTGTTTATAACTTTTCAATAAAACGTTAAAGGACCTATGTTTATATACGGATACGTTCTCACAGTCTGTTTTATTAGGATCACTCTTTCAGTTGTTCACTTGGCAACGATTAATCACTGTCGCCTAAATTTTTGTCGCTTGGAAAGAAAATTTCGACAGTATAATCCCCGTGTTTTGTTGCTTTTTGCAGTCTAGGATTATGTTACCGAAACGTGCAACGGGAATTGAAGTACCGAAATTTCTATATAGATGGTCGATATCTCATTGACATTAACCATCGAAGGAGAATAAAGTAAAACGTGAAGGAAACGATTAAAAAATTGTAATTTGTCAAGAATAGATATTTATTAATAAATTCGGGAACGAATAGAGTTTTGCAATATTATCTGAATATGATACTACGATTTCTCATAAATTTGCTGTGAAATTATAAAGCCTCGTTCTAACTTTTTAAATTAACTTTTAAAATTTATGTATTTGTCCATTTTTTTTTTATAGTTCTTCAATAACTTGGAAAGTAGATTTTTTCAATATTGAGAGAATTTCAATATTTATTTTAATTGAATAAGTGTCATTCTCGACACTTGAAAAAGGGTTAATAATTTTTACATTGAGTGCTCTGTTTAACAGAAATAGAAAATTTTTAAATTAGCAAAATATAACACATCACTTGTAATGACTAATTAACAATTCTTGAACATAATGTTGCATTTGATGAACTAAAAATTATTAATATCAAAATATACTTGTTAAAATTTCAAAAGCAGTTAAATTTAAAGCCACGTGAAACAAAACCATTTCCCAGAAATATTTTATACTTCAATTAACTTTTCGTTCATACAAATTCACGTATTGTTTAAAATTCACACTTTGCCTTGTAAGGGGAAGAATAACAATTTAAATCTCAAAAGTGAAGGATACGTAGAATTATGACATACAGAGTCAGCCACGTACAACAGGACACTCAATTATCTTCTCTAACTATGGTGGTACGAGAAAATTTTTACACATAATTCATATGGTTTTAAAGTGTGAATAAGATGGAAAAAGAATTTCTTTCATGGAAGAAATGGCAAAAAATGAAAGGAAGTTTGATTTAAAATTTTAGAAACTAATGTCATTTTAATGTCACATTATTATACATGTTTAAATGCACATCGATGTCTGCTACAACATACAGTAGCAAAAAATATATACATTCATGTAAAAAAAAAAAGTGGCGTTTATAAACAAATATCTCTTCCATCTTATTGAACCTTTCAAAACCATTTGAATTACTATCACCATAGTTAGAGAAGAGAATTAGGTGGCCCACCCTGTACAGTAAATAAAGAATAAACACTTCGATACTGGTTAATTTTCACAGACAAAAAGACCTCGGAAATTTGAAACATCAATGCAAACGAATAAATCAAAAAGCGTACAAAAGCCACGTTTTTACAACGGAGCTAATTAACAGGCGGGTGGTCACCGTGAAACTTCAAAAGGTGGGAAATCTTTGTCAGGCTAATTAGTTTTCTCGACATGTCGCGAGATACGATCGAATAATCCAGTTCGTGGTTAGAACAGTCGAAAAAGCGGAAAAAGAGAAAGAATAGCGGACAGCGCGTAGCTGCGAACACGAATTTAAATCGTACAAATTGTCGGAGACGAGGGAATTAAAGTTACTTTCAAATGCAGACGCTTACAGCTGTTTCTCTCCTCTTCTCTCACCGTCCGTTATCCGCCTAACTTCTCGGAACCTTTTTCTCTCCGTTTCCTTTCTATTCCGCTCTCGCATGCTTCGGAGCAACGAAGCGGGATGTTACGGTCGGGAATACACTATCCTTCTTCGAACCAGGATTCTCGAAGAAGAAAATTGGTCCGATCGTGTCTTTTCACGCTGCCGGATCGTTTGTGCGTGTGACGTAGTATAAATCGACGCTAAAATCGTGATTGATTTCAATATTGACTTAACGAAATCACCTGTCCGGAAGGGTTGATGGACGGA